CTCTCCCTCTCTTCCTCTCACTCCTTGGACCCCCTTTGACCCTATTTCAATGGTGGTGCAGCCAACAACCTTGCCAACTACTCTTCCCCTCCCCGCTCCCCATCTCAGACTGGCCATCAAAAACGGAAAGGAGGGGAGGAGAGAGGGGGCAACTAAACGTCTCAAGAATTCCCCAATAACGATAACCGCCCCAGGTCCTGTCAGCCACAAGAGACTCGACTACGACCCCTCCCCCCTTTCTCTCTCCCTCTCTCCCTCTCTTTCTCTCTCCCTCTCTCCCTCCCTTTCTCTCTCCCTCTCTCCCTCCCTTTCTCTCTCCCTCTCCCTCCCTCACTCTCTCTCCCTTTCTCCTCTTCCCCCTCTCTCTTTCATGAAATGGCGCTGTAGACGTAACCGTCTGTAGCTCTATTTTGAGCCGAACCGGGACGTTTACCACACATCCAGAATATCGTGTTCGTGTATTGTGCGCAGTATACACTGGTAAAATAAGTGTTTAATTTTGCACGTCAATTGATGTTTAAGTTCAAGTGTGCATTTTTTAGACATATTGTGGTGTCTAACTGGGTTATTCCTCAATTGGTGTATAAACTTTCGAAACTTCTGAAAAGTATAGAAGCTGCACACCATATGATGTTCCTATTGATAGCTGGGACTGTGTGCATCCAAGTGTACAAAATTTAAACGTTTACAAAACGTCTAAAATTTGCACACCACGCAAGTGTGCAACTTGAGTTAAACACCATGTAATGTGCAAAATCACAACTTGCACACGTTGGTGTGCAAATTTTGCACACTTGTTGGACCAGTGTATGTAAATCGGGTACAATTACTTGGTAATCTCAAACACAACTTGGACTTGGGAATGTGGGCCAAAATTAGCCCCAATTGTCTTTAAAGCTTCCCCCTTGACGCCTAAATGAAACGCATGCTCAAGGATGTTCAAGAAAAATTGGGATTCGATAATGAGCGCCAAAATGTAATTGATTCATTCAAGTTCTAGCTTCTTTAGAATGCCGTCAGAATCTCCAATGCACGCGAAAGCCCTTATAACTTATCACTTGCGTCTTTGCGGATATTTGAAGAAAAGCAATTATTTCATCGATGTATCACTAATAGTTTTTTTTTACATCTAAATCAAAGAGCCTTTAATGGGAAGAAAGTTTCTTCAATTTAAGGTAAGGTGTGGGTGAAAACAATGGCTAAAATAATGAAAAATACGCTCCAAACTTGCTGCGCGTGCTGCTCTGGGGCCAGATTGGCCCGAGTCCACCAGAACTTCGCTGAGGAGATCAGACGAAGCGTCATCTAGCGGCGACGAGGAACACTGGCTCCTCTCACCCCACCCCTCCCTCCGCCCCTCTCATCAGAAGGACGATTGCAAATTTGCATTTGCAAAGAACACTGCGAAAAATATCGTCGTAAATTTACAAAAATTTTGTAAACTCGAATTATAATTAAAGTTGTAAATTTACGAGAGCACATTTTTTACTCCCCAAACGCATTTTAGGTCGATACGTACTGCATGTATTTTTACTATTGCAAATTGTAATTTTACAACTGATGTCAAGGAAAATTTTCCTGTAAACCTACCTACTATTTTTACAGTGAAAAATGCTTCGTAGGTCGTAGGTATACAAAGGATCAAAATCCTTCGGAATTGCAAAGCACTACTTCGTAGGATTTTAACAGTGTACCCCGTCAGCGAATCGGTCTTGGGTGTTGCTCACAATGTAACATTTTTTTTTGACCCATCTTAAATGATGGTGAAAATTTATCAAAAAAACAGGAGAGTATTTGAATTTTAAAATGAAGTTGAGTTTTTAATTACAATCAGTGTCTCATATTTCGGACATGAGCCCTAATTTTGGACAAAATTGAGTCTTTGGCGTTAGGAGACCGTAAATCTTATCGTTGTCGAAAAAATTTAACTTGCGTAGGGTCAAAAAAAGGTAAAAGAGTCCTCTTTAACATACAACTGTTGTAGTCTCAAACGGACTTATCCCTATTGAACGGCACCAGCCGGCACCAGCTTAAAGCCAAAAATCCACCTGTGGAGCAGGTGTTTCAAAATTCGTTGTGCAACTTCACCTGGTCACTACGGAGGTGCCATGAAAGATACGAGTCTAGTTTATGGATATGTTATACAAGCACTATTTCTGAGCTCACTCCATGTTTTTAGATCTGTGATGCGGACCTTCGTTTGGTTTCTGTGGGCATGATACGAAAGGATAGTAATATCGGAAACTTCTGATACAATTTCGGACAGTACATTTCGGGCTCTGGGACAAATAAAGTACGGTATAATACCAGGTGGCTCATACACGCCACGCACTTCTGTAGGTATACTGTACCGCATGCACGAGTGCGGGCGGGCTTGCCTATCGCCCCTGTCCACGGCGCCTTACGAGCCGAGCGAGTAGGCAACCCGCCCGCACTCGTGCATGCG